ATGTGTGACAACAGATTCTCTAAGAATTTTTTAGTACCTTAGCATCTCATAGTTTCTTAACACCATTTCATTTATATCACTTAATTTTCAACCATATGATCTAAGTTTGAATAAAATGGATAGCTATAAATGAAACAAACATACTATTTTTGACGTGCCGATCTGTTATGCCTAAAAAGTCACATTGATGTCAACTCAATAAGTGCCTAAAAGACAAATTGTACTTCATGTCAAGCCCATACCGCCTCAAATATATCTTATACCAACCCTATCTCATTTTAAGGGAAGAACGGATGAGAGTTGTCTATGTGTCAAGGCAACTTACAAAACACTCATTACATTGACCTCAAAGGTGTATAAATTTGCACTTCTCTTCATGAAAGAAGGGGTTGGACATATGAGAGCTAGGCATAGATTTGAGCTTCATTATTTTTCTCTATAAACAAAGTATTTCTCCATCTTTGTATACTTTATGGGCAATATCATAGAATAGCCAAAGAAAATAAAATAACAGTGAATGTAGGATTTGCTTTAAGCATCCAAACCACTACAAAAACCTATCTTGTCAGTCTATTATTTATTTTTTCTGCAACATATATAATCTCAGCTCCATATTCAAATCTCTTGGATCCATCATGTGTAATTTCTAAGACTCTCCTAGCACTTTGCACGTGCGAGTTGTTGGTGTCCAAAATCAAGCATCAACAGTTTGGTGGCCCATGCAGGTCTCAAACCTGCGTCCAAGTTCCCTGAGGGTGTGGTCAGATTGCATATCGCACGCATCAGAGTTCTTCGACCACGTGGTCAGATCGTAGATCACACGCATCAGAGTTCTCCTACCGCATGACCAGATTGCAGATCTCACGCTGCACGCATCAAAGTTCTCTGATCGCGTGGCTAGATTGTAGATCGCATGCATTAGAGTTCTCAGATCATATGGCCAGATCGCTGATCGCACGCATCAGAGTTCTCAGATCGCGTGGCTGGATCGCTGATCGCACACTTAGATCATCTTAATCTTCAGTTTCAAATCGCTGATCTTTAGCTCTCCGATCGCTTGGCCAAATTGCTGATCGCACGCGTCAGAGTTCTCCGATCGCATGGCCAGATCCCAGAGCGCATGCATCAGAGTTCTCTGACATCGTGGCCAGATCGCAGATCGCACGTGTCAAAGTTCTCCGACCGCAAGGCCAAATCGCAAATCGCACGCGTTAGAGTTCTCCGATCGCATGGCCAGATCGCAGATTGCATGCATCAAAGTTCTCAAATCGCGTGGCCAGATTACTGATTGCATGCATCAGAGTTCTCAGAGCTCATGGCCAAATCGATGATCGCACGGATCAAAGTTCTCAGATCGCGTGGCCGGATCGCTGATCGCATGCTTAGATCGGCTTGATCTTCAACTTCAGATTGCTGATCTTTAGCTCTCTGATCGTGTGGCCGGATCGCTAATCGCACGCTCAGATCATCCTAATCTTCAGCTTCAGATCGTTGATGTTTAGCTCTCTGATCGCATGGCCAGATCGCTGATCGCATGCTTAGATTATCAGGATCGCGCGTTCAAGATCGTTGAGATCACGCGTTCAGATCACATGCCTCAGACTCTCAAGTCGAGCTCCTATCAAATCGCAATCAGCTCCTAACTCTCAGATCGCGATCAGCTCCTAGCTTTCAAATCGCGATCAGCTCTTAGCTTTGACGTTGTGAATAGCTTCAGGTCGTGTTCTCAACTCTCAGATCGCGATCAGTTCTCAAATTGCGACCAGTTGCCAACGTTAGAAAAAATGCGTAGAAAACTCAAAATAGCCCCGAAACATGCCAAAACAGTGGATCTTGGCCTCAAAAATTGCCCTAACTAGGTTCCCCAATTTCCACGACGTAGAGCGTGGAACAAGCTTTCCGTGGATATCTTACGGGCTCCAAAACTCCTCCCGAATCAAAAGTTATGGCTGTTTTAAGTTAGCTTATCCGTTTAAGGCCTCTAAGCCGTGCATTTGGGCTTCTGACGCTAGCTCCCTCTAGGAATTCATCTATTGGACCTTTCATGTCAGTAACCAGATTGCGCTCAGCTTCGGATCACTCCAAGATTTCAGATCGCAGTCCTAGCTCTCAGTACCCGATCGCGCCAGGCATAGTTCGAGCTCTTCAGTTCGAGACTGCAGCCTACAATGCGACAGCCATTCAGATCAAAGACCTAAGTTTTTGATGCACGATTACGCACTCCAAAAACTGGGGGGGGGGGGTTATTATGCCTAAAAAGTCATACTGATGTCAGCTGAATAAATGCCTAAAAGACAAATTGTACTTCCTGTCAAGCCCATACCGCCTCAAAGATATCTTATACCAACCCTATCTTATTTTAAGAGAAGAACGAATGAGAGTTGTCCATGTGTCAAGGAAACTTACAAAACACTCATTACATTGACCTTAGAGGTATATAAATTGGCACTTCTCTTCACGAAAGAGGGGGTTGGACATATGAGAGCTAGGCATAAATTTGAGCTTTATTATTTCTCTCTGAAAAACAAAGTATTTCTCCATCTTTGTATGCCTTACGGGCAATATCATAGAAATAGCTAGAGAAAATAAAATAACAGTAGATGTAGGATTTGCTTTAAGCATCTGAACCACTATAAAAACCTCTCTTGTCAGTTTATTATTTATGTTTTCTGCAACATATATAATCTCAGCTCCATATTCAAATCTCACAGATCCATCACGTGTAATTTCTAAGACTCTCTTAGCACTTTGCACATGCAAGTCGTTGGTGTCTAAAATCAAGCATCAACATGATCGTTTCTATTCCAATAATAAAGTTGTTTCTCTTCCATCATCCTACCTATTTTTGCAAACTCAAAACGAGCTAATCAACCTCAATTCTTGCTACAACTCGTTTCACTGAGACTTTCTTGTGATGCATTGATAAATTATACAATATTTTGTGTGTTTTTAACACGATACATGAGTTAACGACTTTTTCCCACTCGAACAAAAGTTTAATGACATTTTTCCACCCTCATACATTTCAAATATCAATAATACTGTATTTACAAAGAAATCTTACAAAGATTTCCATACAAAGTGATGTGGTAAAAAATAAATGGAAGAGTGAAACAAAAAGTCAAACTCATTATATTCACTCTTCCATTCATTTTTTATCACATCACTTTGTTTGGAGATCTTTGTAAGATTTCTTTGTAAATGTAGTATTACTATTAAAATATTACTTTATTACTTAAAAGCACAATTTTGTTAGTAACTTTTGTTGTGAATAAGGGCAAGATGGTCAAAAGTCTGTTATAAGTGAGGGCAGAATGGTTGACAAACATTTTGCATCTGAAATCAAAAATTAAAATTCGAAAAGATAGTGAACGACAGATGGCATCGATTCACGACCAAAGAACGGTGAGTAATCAAGTACAAGGGTTTGAGGGGTTTCGAAAAGGGAAGACGAAGGTTGAAAGTGTGGTGGAAAATTGGATTTTGGTTGCCGGAATCAGGAGGAATCGACGCAAAAATAGTGAAACCCTAGGTTGGTTGAGAGCTGCAAACGACGTGCAATTGGAGTTAAGAAGGTTGGGGTTTTGGAGATGGGGGCTGATGAGTTGATTAGTGGTCTCAAAAGGGATTTCCAACACTTGAATCGACCGGGAAATGGCAAGAATCATGCGAACCAACTGTGTGCTTTTTCGGTCGATTCTGTTACCAAAAATCGTCTCTGTCACCACCAATTGACTCCCTTGATCTTCCTCTCCAAAAGCCCCAACATTCTTGACCCCATTTCTCACCAATCGCCGGTGATTGAAGCCTTCCCACCCTAGGGTTTTCGAGTTTTGATTGATTAATTGGGTTTGACTCATTCAGTTTTTATATTTGTTGGGTTGAAAGACGATTGAGGAATATTTATTTATAGAATTTGTGGTTTGTTTGTTGATTTTTTGGTCGTCGACATTCCCCAACACCCGCAACAATTGTTGGCAATGGAAGAAGTTAAGAAGAGAAGAAAAAGAGTAAATCATTGTATTTCCACCAAACTAGAGTGAAACATAATGTTTGGATAGTAAAGGGGAATTTTAAAAGTTTTAGGGTAGGAAAGTGTCATTAAGTTCCTTTTTTTTTTTTTTTTTTTTTTTGGGGTGGCAAAAAATTGTTAACTCCACGGTATACTAAATACAGTTTACTACTTTGAAAATCTAATCCGCCTATAGTTTTAGAAAGGGACAAGGACATTTTCCCACCCAAGGTTTAGCAAAATAACCCTTTCCCACCCATCAAGTTTCAAAATGACACTTCTCACCCTTCGTTAAGTTATTTTAGTGTTTTCTGTTAATATTTGATTGAAAAGACGAAAAATGCCCTTAAATAATTTATTTCTTAATTAGTTTGTTATAAATTAAAATTTAGTTAGGTCAAAGTCTTTATTCGATTATTTATTAGTCTAAGTGTAAAGATACGTTTTTTTCTTTGTTTATTTAATTAATTAGAAATATTTTTTTCTATGTTAATTAGTAAAAGTAAAAAACATTATAAATTTAGTAGATTATTAAATAATAGTGATGGGATATTGATGACATTATAAATAAATATTAAGGTCATTTAACTTTAAACAATTTTATAGCATTACTCCTAACTTTTTGGGTGGGACTACCTATTTTCTCTTTTTTGATTTTTGGCTAATTAAAAATAATAAAAAATTTATAAAGTAAAATATTTAAGGTTATTTTCATTTTTTCAGTAAAATATAAACGGAAAACATAACAAAACATAACGAATGGTGGGCAAGTATCATTTTGAAACTTGATGCGTGGGAAAAGGGGATTCGCCAAACCTTGGGTGGGGTCTAATTTATCCAATTGGCATCCATCTTCACTTTTAAAATACTCTAGAAACATCGTAACCTTTCATCTTTATATTAGTCTTGATCAAAAAAAGAATAAACCAACACTGAAACCACTAAACCAGGGACTTATAAATTCCAGGAACCAAAATCTGGGAATGCTATTGTCACAGCCGCCAATTGCCTGTTGTTTTCAGAAACTGTTTTAGTTGAAAAGTCTAAATTAAGCCAATAAGAATCTCATTAATATAACTCTTTGTTTGCTTTCATGGGGTATAAATATCCCCTCAAACTGGATCTGGAACCATTACCCACCAAGAGAAAAAGAGTCCTAAAGCTTATAAAAAATTTAATCTTTCAGTTCTGTGTTTAATCTGTTCTTAATTTCAAAGTCTAAGAAAATAAAATGGCATGCACTGGTGGTCAGGTCATTCGCTGCAAAGGTAGATTGTTTTGTTCTTTTACATAAATAAAGTTCAAGAATTTATGTTTAATGTGGACTCAAGTTTGGATTTTTATGTGTCTCAGTTATCACTCGTTATTGTAACTAATGAGTTTTTTTTTTTTTTTTTTTCTTTTATGTTAGCTGCTGTGGCGTGGGAAGCTGGGAAGCCATTGGTGATTGAAGAAGTGGAGGTGGCTCCTCCACAAGCAAATGAAGTTCGTTTGAAGATCCTCTACACTTCCCTTTGTCATACCGATGTTTACTTCTGGGAAGCCAAAGTAAATATCTTCACAATTTTATAAACAAGAACGCTTTGTAGCGACTTGTATACACTCTGAATTCATCAAAATGATATCTTTTTTTTTTTTTTTTTTTTTTTTAATTTCTCAGGGGCAGAATCCTTTATTTCCTAGAATCTATGGCCATGAGGCTGGAGGGTATGTGAACTTTTATATTTGTGCATCATTTTAAATATCTGAGTGTACATTTCGTTCATGCATATGCTGATTTGATTCTGTATGGTGTTTATTGGTGAATAGGATTGTGGAGAGTGTTGGTGAGGGGGTGACTGATCTCAAACCGGAGGATCATGTGCTCCCTGTGTTCACCGGGGAATGCAAAAATTGTGCTCACTGTAAGTCTGAAGAGAGCAACATGTGTGATCTTCTCAGGATCAACACTGACAGGGGTGTTATGCTCAATGATGGAAAATCAAGATTCTCCATCAATGGCAAACCAATTTACCATTTTGTTGGCACATCAACCTTTAGTGAGTACACTGTGGTTCATGTTGGTTGTGTTGCCAAGATCAATCCTTTGGCTCCTCTTGACAAAGTCTGTGTTCTCAGCTGTGGAATTTCAACGGGTACTGAAACAGGATTTTTTTTTTTTTTTTTTTTAATTACTGTAAAACTCAATTCTTTGTTGAATTGGTGATGAATTGATGCTTCTTGTTGTTTAATAGGCCTTGGCGCCACTCTTAATGTTGCAAAACCTCCAAAAGGTTCTACGGTTGCTATATTCGGATTGGGTGCTGTTGGCCTAGCTGTGAGTATCTTTATCTGCCATATGAACAGTTGAGTTGTTTTCTCCACATTTTTCAATTGACCATCTGAATGTTATGTTGGTTCCATTTGATTAGGCTGCTGAAGGAGCCAGAATTGCTGGTGCTTCTCGGATAATTGGTGTTGATTTGAACTCGAATAGATTTGAAGAAGGTAAACTGTCTGTTTTCTTCTAAGTGTTATCATGTTTGCATTGACTATAACTATAACAAAGTGTTAATCTGTTAGTGAAAGAACCTTTGTTTGCTATAGTTCTGAAATTTTACTTCGCTTTTTCAGCAAAGAGGTTTGGAGTGACTGAATTTGTGAACCCAAAAGACCACAAGAAACCAGTTCAAGAGGTTTGTCTCCGGATTCTTTTCCCTTTTTTTTGTACTAGTGTTGACAATAATATATCTGATCTTGCATCTGATAATTTTCTAAACAATTAGCCTACACATTGCTGACTTACTAGGTGATTGCTGAAATTACCAATGGAGGAGTGGACCGAAGCGTTGAATGTACTGGAAATGTTGATGCCATGATTTCTGCATTCGAATGTGTCCATGATGTAAGTTCACCAAATTCACAATAGACAAATATTAGCATCAACAATTTGTCCAAACATGTTTTTCCTTCTAGAACACTAATGAGCCAATAAATTTTATCACAGGGTTGGGGGGTTGCTGTTCTAGTGGGGGTTCCTCACAAAGATGCTGTGTTCAAGACTCACCCTATGAATTTACTGAATGAAAGAACACTCAAGGGCACATTCTTTGGAAACTACAAGCCCCGTTCTGACCTTCCCTCTGTGGTTGAAAAATATATGACCAAGGTATGCAAACTATTCGAATTCAACCGGTTTTAAAGTAACTTTCAACATGGGAAAATTTAAATGCTTACTAAAATTATGCATACGCACATATTAATTCCATGAAAAATGTTGCAGGAGCTTGAAGTGGAAAAGTTCATCACCCATTCAGTTCCATTCTCTGAGATCAACAAGGCATTTGAGTACATGCTTAGAGGCGAAGGCCTTCGATGCATCATCCGTATGGAAGAGTAGAATTTGGTTGAAGAAAGCAAGAGTTTCTTGAATTGGCACATAAATTAAATGTCTGATAAAAGTAATTATGTTGATCTCTGGTGCATCCAGTTGCCTGTAAAACTGAGTATCTCAATGTCTTCAGGTGCCCAACTCTGGCTTATTATTAATATAAAATCAACTGTCAACATTTTCAACAGTTTCATTCCACTCGTTAACTCAGAAATTTAGAGCCTATTTAAATATATTATTTTGTTTTGAAAAGAAGTTTAAAAAAAAGAGTATCTAAAAACAATTTTTAGATACAATCTTAAAAATTAATTCAAAATTAAAAAACAATTAAAAGAAGTTTGTCACAGTTTTCTTCTATTTTAAATCTGAAAACAACATTTGAATATCATATCAAACATATTTGCAAATATTAAAAATGTTAAATTATAACACGTTTTAAAATATGAATTATATTTTAGTTTTTAAAATTTATTTATGTGTCATAGATCAAACAAACCCTTTGCAAGTTTAATATATGCAGGCGACACCAAAACAAGAAATTAGTAAAAGAAATTGGGATTATATGACTTAGAACTTTTAATAATAAAATTGCTCACTTATTTAATTTATAGAAACCCACCTTTTGTAGGCCTCTAAATTACAACATTCATTTTGTTTGAAATCCAAGGATTAAAAATCACAATCTGGAACTGGTTCTGGCATCGCCTGAGGTATATTTTATTTATTTATACACTTTACTTCAAAACCTGATGGAATTCAGCAATTAATTGTTTACTTTGTGAAGGAAAAAAATAACTTGAAATGAGAGGGAGCTTTCATTATTGATTGGAAATCCTCAAAATTAAGCATCAAGAACAATAATATACACTATGAATTTTAGTTTACTGCCATGTTAATGGCCTATCATGGTTGTGCTAATTTTGCTAATATAACCATGTCTAATATCTTAACATCCAGTGTGTCATCTACTTTTACAATTCCATCCGTACCATCCACACCAATTAATTTCCCAGTCGCACCACGCAGTGCACCACCCATGATCTTGATCTTGTCATTTTTCCTCGGCGCAACTATTTCAATTTCTGTGGGAAGGGCCGAAATTGTATCACCATTACCACTCGACCCAAGCACCACTCTACAAGATCCATCCTGGAACACAAACCACCAGAGTTAACAAACATGTACATAACCAAGCATTATTCTCCGAAATGCTAGTTAATCTGTGCATGTAATTGCTATATATATCACAACATATGGAATCAAGTTATTCTAATATATGTGAAAATTGATTGAGCTAATCCCTTCAACTGATAAACAGCAGCACAGCTCTCTGATAAGCTTTACGCTTTTAGTGAACTCACTATTGCAGATTCAAATAACAAAACTGAAAGCCAGATAGATGCCTTGAATCTGAACTTTTAACCATCAAAAACTATTTTTGAGGTAACTCACAAACAAATGTTAATAATGAGAAGAAAGGAAAACCATAAACTCCTCTTGGCTTATGGAGGACTTCCCAATAATAACTAACTGCCTAAGCATTCATCTTAGGATCAGTGTTAAATAATGTGTAGACAGAAGCAAAAATATAAACAAAGAGTGTTACTGGAATACATACCGGAAGCACTTCTCGGATAACTCCCATGCCAGAGTCCTCCCCTGACTTCCGTACATTAACCAAGATGTCTGGCATGAACCATGGACCTTCATTGTCTGATCCTGCAATTTAGTAAAAACGTTTAAAACCCTAAAGTCAACTTCTCCCAATATAAACTCAAAAGTTCTCAACAAGACAACTTCCCCAATAAAAAAATTAAAAAAACAAGACTTCAAACATTTATTACTTGCATGGAGGAGTGTAATGCCTAGGAAGGCAGAGTTAACACTTTGTTTAGCATATGAAGTATCTAGAGCCAAATGCTTCAATTTGATTTATAGGAAACTAAATAGCTCCTTAGCCAAGCAACATGAACTGAATACATCAACTTAAGGACCTCATCAGTTTCTTTTGAAATGATGCACCTTTAAAACCAGTTACTTGGTCACCCAATAATAAATGATTGTTATAAGATCTTTGCTGAGGTTGATTTAATTCTTAAGGGATGGGTATAAGCATAAAAAGACTACCCAAAAAAGGAAGGATCACTTTTATTCCCATCTGAAATTAATGAGCAATTTTAGCATGCAGACTGTTTTGAGTTTTGACTGACATGTCAAGATTGGCAACTTAATAAAAACCTCACATAAAGTATATTGTGGACTAGAATACAAATCAAATAATTAAAGAAAGAATATGCAAGTAGAAATCTAATCTTCACATCCCACAATTTTATACTTGCAAAGGAAGGGAAGAACCAATGATTGTACCTATAACAGGAGACATAGCATCCAGACCACCAGTTCCTGGTGTCATTGGTTGCCCTCCAGGAGTACCAGGAAGATAGGAGGCTGAGTTCGGTGTCATAGGCTGCCCACCTGGAGTAGATGGCAGGTAAGGACTTGGAGCATTGGCTGCAACAAGCACTTAACTTTAATTAAATGTACACTAAGAAAAAACATAAATTACTGAAACAAATTAAAAATAGCAAAATGATAAACAAACTACCATAGGCAGAACTGCTATCTCGTGGTGTTCCAGCTTCACTATAGTTGCCACCCGGAGTACTAGCCCAGCCTGAACCAGGTGTCGGTGCTTCATAAGCACGTGAAGGTGGACTTCCTGGCTGGAAGAAAACAGCAGCGCTTTTAATTTACAAACAAAGAATAAAATAATATCTATATCTTGTGGCCAGGACCAAATTATAAAGATCCCCAACCTGATATTGTGGACTGGTTCCCCAGGAAGCAGGGTTTCCCTCCTCCCAATTATCCCTGTTTGTTATCATGACAATTCCAAAGATCATCCATTAGTGAAAAAAAATATACTGATGTAGGAGAAATAGGATTAATTTTAGATTTAGTATTTTTAGTTTTATTTCAACCATGAGATGAAGTGGAAGTAGAAGATGAAGTGGAAGCTCATGTTGAAGTTGAAGCCGAGCAAGGGGAGAAGAATAATATCTTGAGATTGACTTGAAGCATTAGCTAAGCAATTTCAACCCTCTTGTGAATTCACTAGGGATTCTTTCATAGTCTACAGATCCTATATGAGTTCGTGTTACATCAAGATTGTTTTCTTTGCCTTATGTTGCCATGAGGAATGAACTCTATCCCATGCCTATGCAAGATCAGCTATGGTGTTATCTTATTTGTTGGAAATATCTGCTTGGTTCATTTTCTTTTAAGCAGGGGAGAATTCATGTAGGAGAAATAGGATTAGTATTTTTAGAGTTTTATTTCAATTATGAAAGTCTTTTTATTTCAATGTTTCAATGTTTAATTAGAGGATTAGACTGTTTATATGAAATCTTTTCTATATTCTTGTTGCTCTTCTTATTCTATTCGATATTTGTCTAGTTTCTCCCTGTTTTTCTATAATTCTTTGTTTATTTTCTAATTCTTCTTTATTTATGCCTTATTCTTCTCCCCCCTCCATCACATAGACTGCCTGAAAAACTTTAAGTGCTATAAACAACTCTCAATAGAATTGAGTACTCATAAACCATTTAAATACAATGAATATTAAGGTGTAGAATATGTTAACAATTCTACATATATTTAAAGTTACTATGCACACAAATTTCTTCTTCATTAAAAGTGATGAATCCTTTCAACCCCAGATGCATTTTCAGGTGGTTTTTTATACTGTAAATTGTGTTACAACAAGGTGACATGTTGATATTTGGACTTATTAAATTGACAAAAAAGGAAAAACCATTCAGAGACCAAAACCCACACAGTATATCTCTAAAATTTGAGCGAGAGAATGCTAATCCATTTTAACATTGTTTTCAACATGTAAAATCCTAAGAGATAAAGTACAAAAAATAGATAAAGGAGAAGGCAGAAATTGGTCAGATTTTAAGGCAAACCTTGGTGGACTCATTGGTGTGTAAGGATTCCATGCTCGGTCACGCATTGGCGTCCTCATGCCATCGTGAATTGGCGTTGCTGCAAGATAAATTAATGAAATAATTAAAGAAATTTAATACGCTAGCCAATGATTAATACATCCAAATTCTACAGAAAAATGGTAGATCAAGAAGATTTAGAAGACAATACCTGCAGCATCTCTCATTGGAGTGCTGTACGGATGCAGTGGAGTTCGTGAAGGATGCATTGGAGTTTCACTTCCCATACCATAACGAGGAGCATCACTGGCAAAGCACAATCAGATATTGAATTAGACTTCCAAAATTATGACAATATAAAACAACTTCAGACATCACTTTTACGTACCGGTACGGTGTTGAAACAACCACATTGTCAGAGATATAACTCCGATCAACTGCAAATAAAACAGTTGTTAATTGTCCATACAGATAACCATGAAAAAGAAATAAGATCAGGTTTCCCCACATGAGCAGCAACTTGCCTGTAACAACCTTCATTTGTGACTCCAACTCAACACGAACTGATTGTCCCTTAATTTCTACAACCCGCCCACGGTAGCCCTTGAAAGGGCCTTGGCGAATTTTTACTGTGGTTCCAATAAGAGGATCATGCCCTCCTCTTCCACCTCTATGCCTTCCCCCATCTGAAACATTCAAGTAGAAGGTGAAAAAATATTCCACTGTACTTTGACCCAAAAAGTACCAACTCAGTAAGAAAAAGTCCACTGATGATAAAATTTGTTAAACAAGCAAGTAATTATCATCAAGAACCATACAATCATTTTGATGGCCTCCTCTAGACAATCTCCTTGGGGACTGGGGTACACGAGGTGGAGGTCTATGATTATTAAATCTAAAGGCATCACCCTGAAAGATTTTGAAACACAAGTGAGCTAAAAACTGCCAAAAAAATTGTAACCAAAACATTACTTTAATGAATATAGTAAGAGCATAAAAGGCTTACATTTCTATCACCATTGCCACGTGATCCACCCACAACAGTACAAGAACTGGATTTAGCACATATAAAGCCAGCATGCTCAAGATGATGGCGATCATAGATGAACAAAATTCCTCTATATATGTGTTCTACAGGACCTTGCTTGCCCTAACACGGTAAAATGGGGAAACATGTTAACTACATACTCTACAGTAATAGCAATACAAATCAAATGAGAGATGAGAATCCTACTTTGCATGGACCCTCAAGGATCCTAACAACATCTTTCACTGAGACAGTATTCTTATTCTTATCTTGCACATTAGACTTTTTTTCAATCTTGTATTTTATTTCTCTCAATTTAACTAGAGCAACCTCTGGTCTATCAGGAACTCCCTTCAAAACCTGGAAAAAATGTAACATGCTTAGAAAGTTCAAAAGAGAATAGCTGCTTAGCTTTTAAGAAAGATCACTGACCTGAAATGCTTCACTTTCCACACGTATGATAACACCAAAGCTATTGTTACTGCACCAAGATAAAACAAGCAAATTAGACACAAATGAAAAATTGATTAACAATCATTTGATTCATCAACAAGCAAGAGCATACTCCAATAGCACAAGATCATGAAGCTCATAGTCCCCAATTTTTGTTACACCAGTAGTAACCTCAGAGCTCTCCACAACATCATCGGCAAACACCCGGATCTGAAGAGAACAGATATATTATTATTATTTTTAAATACATTTCATCCAAACAGTTATCTGAAGACAGGAGTTCGCTTCTCACATGTTCCTTGGTAGTATCAGATAGAATGATCAGAACATGCTGTTCAACCTTTACAACCATGCCAGTAGCACCTTCCTGAGTCCCGGAGACAACTTTCACATGATTCCCAGGTTCAAAGTACTTGCATAGTTCTTTTTGATTGAGAGCAAGTGTTTTCTGTACAAAGCCAGCCATATAAAGACCAATTGATTTCCAGTAAGCAGAAGAATTATTATCCCACACATAGTAGACAACTAATTTTGAAAAATAACTAGAAAAAAAGATAACAGGGTATCCAATAAAATTCTTACAGGAAGTCCTTTCATTTCTGGTCTGATATGCACATTCTCTTCATCAACCTTCTCAACCCATCCTTTCAAATTTTTGAGATCTCCCTTGATGACAATAACTGCATCACCCTTCATAAAATGCCCTTTCTTTCTGTTTGCAAATAAAGTTGAAAGACTAGCCATATCACTTTCTCCATTCTCTCCGGGTGTCCGGAATTTTTCAAGTTCATCAAAAGTTGGTTTAATGTTCGCTGCGCTAATTGATTTTGTCGACACTGTTTTGTACAAAAATCCATCTTTGAACAGCATACCCCCAATATTCTCAAAATAATCACCTGTGATTTGATCTCGTCTACGCTCTACACGTATATGCAATTCCCTGACATAAATCAGAAAACAATGGGCTCAAAAAGCAATGAATTAGGCTACAAATACATTTGAAATTTGATGATTTAGAAAGGATACAATTAACAATACCTGGCTTCATCAACATTCATAAAACGTGGAGGAGGGACAAATGCCTTTTTCTTTGGGGCGTCCCTACCTTCCTGTGCCCAAAAAAGAGATTGTCATTATAAACAGCATATACCAACAACTATTGCAAGAAAAGTCCACATAAAACCAAAAAAAATGAAAACGAACAATACCAAGTATATTTATGCAACCAATATGAGAACTTCCCTTTTTTTTCCTTCTTTTCTTCTTTTTTTTTTTTTTTTAATAAGAAACTATAAACTTTGTATTAAGTTAGAAAAAGGTGAACAGATACAATTGTCGACTAAGTTCCCACAAAGAATCAAAAATCTACTAGATGGGAAAAATAAACTGTCATAGCTAAGGCCATTATTGGACTAAATTCAGAATGTGTTGACTCACTCATACACAAGAAGGACCCAGATCAACCATTATACCAATCAAAGAGAAATAACCCAAAACATAGGTAACAAATATCATACCAACTTATTGGCAAGAGCCTGCAAATCTATTCTTGGGATTAATTTCACTGTTACTCTCTGTCGCACATTGTCCACATCAACTACCTATAAAGCACAAAAACTAAAGATTAGAAAAATCTAATTGAGCAAGAATGTCACAATATAGGGTGCTGATCATACTTTAGCAAGGTCCCCCTTGTAACTTCCGAGCTTCATTCTGACCCAAGTATCCCTAGAAAGGTCAATTGCTTTGCTTTCAACTGAAAGAACATCAGTCATTTCTCTTATAGGAACGAGCATTACTTTCTGGGAATATATATTTCGGAGACCCTTGCATGCCTGATGCAGAAGCCAATCAATGATAGATCAAACTTCAATAACATCACACCTTTAAAACAGAACAAGTTCACAAGCAAATAAGATATACCTCCTTCACATGGGCTTCTTTATCTGCTTCAACGTATATGTAGTTTTTCAGGTGATCAAGTGCAACAGCAGACCTAATCTGCAGCTCAGCTCCTTTATCTATATACTTTTGCATTAGACAGACAGCAGCCTCTCGTTCACGGCCAATCTAACATAAATTAACACAGTTAAATTAACATATACATGATATAACTCCCAACCCAAACCTTCAGTGGACATGAATAAGAAAATAATAATAGAAATGAAACATGCATCAACTTAAACCTTAACAGAATTATAATCATACCGCACATTTAACCATCCACAGCTTTGGATCCCTAACAGATGGCAAAAGTGCTTGCTGCTCCACATCTGTGGTCTCCTCATCATATTCTGTGTGACTTGACCTTGCATATCTTGCCTGAATTCTTCTCTCAAGATCTTCAACATCTTCTGCCTCATCCTCCCGAGGTAGCAGTGGACGACGATGAATCCCTCTACCATCCACTTCATCAGGTAGGTCAGCTCCACCATCAACTATGAAGTCTGCATTTTCCATGACAAATTAATCGGCAATGTCAGAAAAAAGAAGGAATAAGCTGGTTGAAATCTAGAATCAACAGAAACAGCCAAACTTCAGTGTATGCACAAGAGAAGTGAAATTATAATTATTAATGTCTACTAGTAATACAAACAAAAAATGGCTTAAGTGCCTGAAAGAGACACGACTTCTAATTTCATTTTCAGAATACAAAAACCTAATAGTGTACTTGCATTACTGTCATCTATAAAATCTAAATGGACGAAGCACCAAACAGCTGAAATGTCAGAACCATAAAAGTAGTTATCCAATAATTCTGATGAAAACATTTACCAATAAATGGAAGGATGTAAACATAAAAAAAAAACACACCCAAAAGGGCATTAAGCATCATGAACAATTTTGAGGACCAAATAGCTTCTTGATGATAAAAGAATCAACAGATATAGAATCAAGAGTCCAAGATACGGCTACTACAACATGCACCTGTAACCAATACATAAAGTTAAGTACATTGACCTATATATTGAGGCTAATGAAAAATAAACAAGTCAATTGTAGTTGTAAGAGGAAGAACCCTAAGAAAAATATTCACATTATAAATCCACCACTCCACAAGTCAATGAGGATTATGCCATTCAAGTTGTAAATCAAATGACAGAACACGTATATGCTTAAGTACTGTCTATACACACAGATCTTTCTCTTCTTCTATAAGATGAAGAGAATGAGTTTTATCCATTACACTACTTAATCAGCCATAACTATCTATAAGCCATTAAAATTGCAGACTCAATTCCAATACTTATTTAAATAAATATTTTGCACTTCATTTCTGAAGACATGACTCAAGGAACTTCAACTCTGAACTCCATTTCTAAAGACATGACTCAAGATTAATTTCAAATGCCCGTACAAAAGCAAAATTTCTATAGCTTCTCAGCAAATTATATAAGTCACCAAGGGAAGATATATTCCAAATCAATCATAGCCACACTTATTCATCACAAAAATTAAAAATTTAAAAAAAAAAAAAAACATTTGAGCAATCTCTTAGTCCAAAAAAAAATCCTTTTTAAAAGAGCACTGACCGTATGCAATGACAGTTATCAAACCATAACCTCCTAAATTCTAATTTTTTACCAATCCGGACATCATTAACAATTGCAAAACAAAACCACAAACATCAACATCCATTCAACATACCATTCTTCAGCGCATTTTTATCCTATTCACAATAAATCATCACTTATAAAAACTCTTTAAAGCATGGCCTTCATCCTAATCAATGAAACTAATCAAAAACTTCTCTATCCTCAATCGTTTCATTTCTACTTTCCACTCCATAATGAAGTTTCACATCACTTAACCCTACTTCAACCCAAGGTTCAGAAACCAATCAATTTCTACACAATTCTTTCACTATCTCTAACCTAATTTCAATCACTAAACCTTCTTTCCACTAAAATTCAAATACCATCTACCAAACAAACCAAAAATAAACCAGAAAAAGAATACATATTTCCAATTTATCACGCCCTAAATTCAATTCACTCAAATTAACGAACACATACCGTCCTCTCCTTCTTCTTCCTCCTCGTCTTCGTCACTATCAACTTGTGCCTCCAGATCGAAAAACTCCGACCCGGTCCGTCTCTTCGCCTTATGCTTTCTCCCGCCGCCTCCGCCGCCGCCGCCTCCGCCTCCGCCTCCGTAATCTTCATCCTCATCGTCATAATCTTCCTCTTCCTCATCCTCGTCCTCCTCCGCCACGTCGTCAATGAATTCAGATCTCCTGCGCTTCTTACTGGAGCGATCATCTTCCTCCTCTTCGTCCTCCAAGTCCTGCTCGTCATCGTACTCCTCATCCTCCATATCGTCTTCGTCTTCGTCTCTTCGGCGAGGCATGGCTGATAATTTAGGTGAGTTTGAGTGAGTTGAGTTAATAAGGGTTTGGTTTGATTGAAGATTTGTGTGAAACAAAGAAGAAAGAAAAAAACCCTAGGGTGATCCTAAGTTTTAAGACGGTTGTGCTGTGGTTAATGTAATATTTTCGCTTTGTCAGAGGTCTGTTAATTTTAATTTTTTTTTTTTTTAAAAAAAAATCTTTAGGTTGAAGAAAGGATTTGGGTATTTGGGCTTTCTATTTGGGCCTTCCGCCTATGGTTGTGTTGACACTTGACAGGGGAAATAGAAATCACCGCTTAGGCAACGTCTGGTTGAGGGATATATAAAATCAGTGAATAGATATCATTTTCTATTACTTAATTATCATGTTTGGTTATCAAGTAATATAAAATTATAGTAATATTTAAATATCAATAATAATTATTATTGATAATATAAGAGGTAATCTGATTATCTCTATTTTCTTAGGTATTGTAAAATTATTTTGTAATCTTATTTTTGTTATAATTTTACCTTTTACTATTAATTTTTTTGGATAATAATACCTTTATTTTGAAATTAATTTACATAAACCCTACAATTACAATTTTACCCCTAAATAATTAAAGTTTTGGACAGTAATGCCCTTGTTTCTAAAACAATTTACAAGCCACCCATGAGGATTGTTGCAGCTGGCCACCACCACCACCATCGACGGCCACTAGTGGCCAACGTTGCTGGAATGGCTCATGATTGGCCAAATCAGATCAATTGTGCGCTGATATGACCTTTTTCGATCTAAACAGTAAGATGATCGTAGATCTGGGATTTTTTAGGTTGGGCAATCACTAATATTAAGCCTGATCTGGGCTGATTCCGACATCACCGTCAGCCCCAACCACCACCATCTTACTCCTCTCGTTTTCCTCTTCAAATCCCACCAAACCCTATCACCGAAGCTGCCCCCAATCACTTGCAAAGTCCACTGTTTTCACGATTTCCCTTTTTCTCGATTCTTTTCTAGTTGTGTTTTCTACCGAAAATCACCCCTACTTGCACTGATTGACTCCCCTTTACCTCCTCTTCAAAACCCACCAAACCTAATCATTGAAGCTGCCCCCAATCGCCAGCGAAGCCCATTGTTTTTCCAAGCAATTTCCCTTTTTCTCAGCGCTTTTCCGATCATGTTTTCTACCGGAAATCACCCCCACTTGCACCGATCGACTTCCCTTCACCTCCTCTTCAAAACCCTCAAAGAACATCTCCATTGCACTTCTCGATTGATAGTAGGGGGTGGTTTAGGTGGCCAATAGTGGCTTAGGTGGGTCGGGGTGTTTTTGTTAAAAATTAAACTTTTATATGACTTAGGTGTTTTAGCAAAATCTCAAATGTAGGTGGTTAAAAAAAATAATGATTAAAATAATATTATATTAATATTTTAAAAGGAGAGCAATTTAGTAATCTATATAACGTACTCACCAATTTATTCCTCTCAACCAAAAATATAAATATAACATACCTACCAATTTATTCCAACAAATCAAACACGTTTTCCTAAACATTTCTAGTAATCTTTAAGGCAATCTATCTTTCTATTAATATAACATTCTTAATAATACAATATCCTCTGAACCAAACGCACTCCTATGGATATATTTGTAGAGTAAATGGTTTTTTCCCACCCAAGGTTTACCTTAATGACACTTTTCCACCTAAAGTTATTATATTGTTACTATCCAAAGCCGATTCCAGCTAACTCTAGCACCAAAATTCTCTCCGTCAATAGACTCAATACCATTTGAACCTCCGGTCTTTTCTTTACAAAACCACTTTCACTCTAGTACCTGAATTCTCACCGATTATTGACCACTGCAAAATTAGGGTTTCATGTTCTTAGCTAATTTCCAACTAATTTCAATGACGAATATTCAATCAGTTACTACCATTTAATCTATCGGCCTTCACTCTACGAAACTTTTCTTACTCTGGCTCTTGGTAACTAATCGAATACCAGCTGAGAAAGTGAAGTGTATTTTGAAACTTTTGGGTTGGAAAAGTGTTAACCTTGGGTGGGAAAAGTCGTTTACTCTATATTTGCATGAAAGCTGTATGGCAAACACATAATTTAATTTAGCCATATTGTTTTCAAGATTGACTCAGAAGAGAAATGTACTTTGTTGACTTCTTTGTCAATCTAGAGAGATAAACACATAACACCATTCTCTTCAATTATATCAGAAATCTGAGTCAACCATATACTTTGGACTCTATATCTCAGACAAAAACTACCAGCTTCCTACAACCTAACCCAATAAAGTTGAAGAAAATTTGAATGAAAAGTGTCTTCTTCCCCTGAGAAGGATGCCCGGTTGCCATAATTTGCAGATAATGATACCAAAATAAGCGTTACTTTGAAACTACGTACTTCAGCCACCCAGCTAGCTTCAGCTACTCCATATTCTAAAGATAGCAAGTTCTTTACTACGTGCCAGTTCCAGCTAACTATTAGTCAAGCATGTCATGAGATGACGATTTCTAAAGACTTTCTAAATATCAGAAAATGAAAATCTCTATATGAACTATAAATGTAGGATAGTATTCTTTAATCTTTAGCACCGAAAGTACTTCCCAAAAACAGTATCAGATTATTTCTCTTAATTAATCTCCATATGCTTTCAGGTTTACATGTTAAAAGACCCACAAATTTATGTTGGAACTTTGTTGAAAAATCAAAAACATTTCCCAAGAAAATAAGGGAAAAGACAGAAAATGATGGACACATTTCATTTCACGTGTATAACCCAACTCTATATAAAGATATAACACTCAGTTTCTCTGGTCATCATCTTTCAAAATGCTGAATTACAATTCGAAGCCTCTGCTTTTTGCTCTCGTTTTTATTCATAGCCTTTTCAGTTCTTCACAAGGGCAACTTCTAGTGGGCTTCTACTCACAAACATGCCCCACTGCCGAGTCCATTGTGCACTCCGTTGTTGATGAAAACTTTAAGCGAGACCCTGGAAATCCTGCAGTTTTATTAAGGCTTCAGTTTCATGACTGCTTTGTTAAGGTCATTTATTAATTCCATGTCTCTCTCTCCGTCTTAATCTTTCTCATGCACAAAATCTAATGGATATTTTATTTCAGGGCTGTGACGGGTCAATTCTGATTAACAATGGTGCTGAAGGCGAGCGAGGAGCAAGAGGAAATTTAGGAGTTGGCGGTTATGAAATTATAGAAGAGGCCAAAAAAATGCTGGAAAGCGTTTGCCCTGGAGTTGTTTCCTGTGCGGACATTGTGGCTTTGGCCGCTAGAGATGCTGTGTCTTTGGTAAGATATATAATCTATTTCAGGCTTTCGCTTTATTCATTAAACAGTCGCTCGATTGTAAGGGTTTATATCATTTTACGGTAATGTATTTAATATTTTCTGAAGGAAACAGACGAGTTTAATGCTAAAGGATCTGATAAAGGAAATTAAATTAACCCTCAATCTTAATATGTTTAATTGCCAGGTTAATGGGCAATTTTATGAAGTTCCAACTGGTCGAAGAGATGGACGAGTTTCAAGTAAATCTCTGGCTGCCAATCTTCCCGATGTTGATGACTCAATTCAGCTTCTTAAATCCAGGTTCCAGCAAAAGGGTCTTTCCGATAGAGACTTGGTTCTTCTCAGCGGCGGTATATATCATATATGCATACTTCATTTTCTAAATCTGATAGATTTTGTTCTGAATCTTAAAGGTGAAGTAATATTTTGCATGGTTTCAGGTGCGCATACAATCGGCCTCACAGCTTGTTTCTTCATGCAAAAACGACTCTACAACTTTACCCCCAGCGGTGGTTCTGATCCCTCGATCGATCCTGGTTTCCTCCGAGAACTTAAAGCGAATTGCCCTTTTAATGGCGACCCAAATGTCAAAATACCTCTTGATCCAGTAACGGAATTCAAGTTCGATGATCAGGTTTTTGTCAACATCAAAAATGGATTCGCCGTGATTGCGTCTGATGCGAGGCTCTACGATGACAATAATACAAGGCAGATTCTTGAGTCTTATATTGGGTCAGGACAAAATTTCCTGGCAGATTTTGCTAAAGCGATGGTGAAGATGGGGAAAATTGGCGTCAAAACTGGTTCACAGGGAGAGATTAGGCGAGTCTGTAGTAATGTTAACTGAGCTTATTTGAGTGGTTTAATAATTAGTGTTTGTTTATGTATTATGCAAGCCAAAAATGATATAATGGAATAAAACAAGGCTTAAAGAAAACTTTATTGAAATATAACAAGAACTTGAACTATTATGATTTTTTATTTTTTCGCTCCAACAGCCATGTCTGTAATGACTAATAGTTTTAATTGGTCATGGAAAAGTTAAACTCTGTTATATTTGTTATTTAAAAATAATTGTTATATCATATTTAAATATTGTTTTCGGATTAAAAATTAAATTATAATTATAATTTTTATTAATTATTTTTTAATTTTATATTAACTTTTAAAATAAAAATTATATTCAAATTTTATGTCTAACAATCGTGTTTTCATAGTAGAATTTTGCACTCTAACCATCAATTAACAAGAAAAAAATTCCTATAAAAGCAATCAATGATTAAATTTTTTATCCATAAGATTGTATTATGGTTCGAGTTTTGTTACTATTAAAATATTAACTTCAAATTAAAATTCGATCATGCAAACGGTGCCGTTTTTCATCACTTGTTCTTTGCTATGGTTACCGTCTAATTCATCCCGAAACCACTTCCCTTCCTGAAAGCTACTATAGCGATCGAGGTAGCGAAATGGGAAGCATAAACAACAAAAGAATCTTCACTCCTTACCACCACAGTCCATGCACCCGAACGCACCAGATCGGCGCTCTCCTCCTAGTAACCGCCACTTTCATTCTCACCAGACTCTTCGACCAAACACTTTCTCCCTGCAACTACTCCTCATTACTCAATCATGACCGTTCATCGCCAGAAAACCTCCTACGCATATCCCACAGCGGAGGATCGCTCTCCTGGCCTCAGAGAGGCTACGGCTCCCAACTCTCCCTCAAGATCTACATCTACGACGAGAACGAGATCGATGGCTTAAAATCTTTGTTGTATGGTCGTGATGGAACCATCTCTGCTGATTCTTGCGTTAAAGGCCAGTGGGGCACTCAGGTAGTTTTTGAATATCTAAAATTGGATTAAGACTTAGGATTTTGTGCTCATTAAAGTCATTGTTTAATAAGAATTGATTGATCTAATTGTGTTTAGCTGAAAGGTAAATGTTACTTCAAAATGGTACTAGTTGTTTATTTTTAGTTTAATATTGTGAAAACAGTAATGTTACGAGGATTGGTATCCAAGTAATGTAGCATTCTCACTAAAACGATATTTTAAGCGTTAATTTGTGTTAGTTTGGTGATAGTTGTAATTTAGTTTTGTTTATGTGTGTTTAAATTGTAGGTTAAAATACATAGGCTGCTTCTACAATCAAGATTTCGAACGAGAAAGAAAGAGGAAGCGGATTTATTCTTCGTACCTGCATATGTAAAATGTGTTAGGATGATGGGAGGTCTTAATGATAAGGAGATTAACCAAACCTATGTCAAGGTAAAAGTATTCATTTTCCATTGTTTGATGTTGAGTTGTTATGTGGTCATTTTGTTAAAGCTGTTGTTTTCAGGTCTTAAGTCAAATGCCATATTTTAGGCGTTCAGGTGGCCGTGACCACATATTCGTCTTCCCAAGGTATAATTGTTTGGATTCTGTCTGTTTTATTTTTATTTTTTGGTGATCTAAGATGGATGAGTTAATGGTAATATTGTTGTAAGTGCATTCCTGTGTCTGTTGACTTTAGCTGGCTCAACTGGTAAGATCTTTTGTAGAGCATTAGAGATCTTGGGATTGAATCTCACTCAAACTAAAGTTTGGGGATGCTAGTTTGGAATTCTTCTTTAAATAAAGTGCATTTGTGTGTGTGTGTTTTAAGTTGCTTCTATTGAGGCAAGACAACTTGTGGCATTTTGATGACATAGCGAAGTCCTGGTAATGATCCTGTTGTTGTTGCATCTCCTTTTAGTAAAAACTAATTGATTTCAATATTAGACTAAAGCAATATAAGCTTGAGCCTCCTCAAATGCATTAGCACAAGTGGAGAACAAGTCAAGATGTTTAATGTTATGGAAAGAGTAAATAAAGAAAGAGAAGGAGCAAGAAATAAGTCTTTCTCTTTTTCTTCTAATGAATTAAGGAATTTATCTTTTACCAAAGATATTACTAGTTTATAACTGAATTTAAATTTGTATTATTATATTGCTGAAGTATTGTTATTCGTTTCTGTTTCATATTACTTATGTCATGTAAGCAAAAAACTGACCTTTGTCAGTTTTTTAACAGAAAGAGTTGTTTGTAAGAACTTAATTTGTACAAGATGATCTCCTTTATTCTTGTTGTTGTGATATTGCTAACCTTGTACATGTATATATTTAATTTATGGTTTTTTTCTACTGTTTATTCATATTTTGGGTTTTTTCTTTGTATTAATACAAATTTGGATGTTTTTCTGCTATTGTAGTGGTGCTGGAGCTCACTTATTTAGATCTTGGGCAAGATACATAAATCGCTCCATAATTCTTACTCCTGAGGTATTATCCTTCTCAGCAAATTGTATCCTCTCTGTTGTATATATTCAGTTATGCTATTGAATCTGGTTTCTTACTTCTTGGCTCTTGCACTAGTTCAATGTAAAAAACACCTAATGATGTTGAAGTGCCCTTTTTGCAATTACTTCAAGAATGTGGAACTTGAAGCGGATGATAATAACCTGGTAGCAGGCATTATTTTTGTCGGATAGCCAATTGGTAGTTGTTTTGTTATGGCATAGAAACTGATCATGTAGTGAACTTTCAAGTTTCCAATCTGTTGCTTCACTTTGGGAAGAACCATTATTATTGTCTTATTGTGGCATTTTCTTTCTGATCCTTGGATGTTGACTTCTTCGTTATGAGTTCTTTTCTTCTGTTACTATATGTTCTTTCATTTGCTCATAATATTCCTGTAATGGGTCGGCATTGCTTACCAATATTGAATTTTTTTGGTAGGTTCCATGTAGTGTCTACTGTCCATTGGTTCTAATTTTATTATCCTCCGCCCTTAGTTTCTGACCAAAGATTGTTGGTTTGTGTTTTAGTGCAGGGGGATCGAACTGATAAGAGAGACACAAGTGCCTTTAATACATGGAAAGATATCATCATTCCTGGAAATGTTGATGATGGGATGACGAAACATGGGCCTACCTTAGTCCAGCCTTTGCCTCTATCAAAACGGAAGTATTTGGCTAATTATTTAGGTCGTGCACAAGGGAAGGCTGGCCGTCTTCGGTTGATTGAGCTTGCAAATCAATATCCAGATAAGGTATGTAATCCTCTGAGTCTAATTGATCATCTGAATGAAGATATCTTTTTGCCAAACTTTACGTCTTCTATTTATTTTTGGTTTATTAGAGTATTTGAATCACGAACAGATTTCCTATGATGAGGAACTACGATTCACTAAATTTACAGTGCTCAGCTATAAACTCTTGTGGTAGTGGTAATTGTATTTGGCTTGTTCTTTGATTCCTCTTAGTGCCTAAATTCAGAATCATTTAGGGTGCACTTGGTTCATTATTCTGATACTTTTTAGAATAATATTTTGAAAAAAATAAAATTGGATGGTTATTACGATGTAGGATATGAAAATTAACAAAAATACTCTCTAAGTTTGTTTATTTACTAAACACCCCTATAATAAAATTTTGAAAATGAACAAAAACACTCCCACCCCCCATTAAATACCGATAGTTGGCCACCACCGCCGGAGGGTGGCCAGAGTCGTCGACATGGCCTTTTCCGGCCAGATCCACCGCATTTGGTCGTTAACGACGGCCAAAGGTATGGTCGCCGTTGACGATTGGCTACGGCCAAAGATTTGGCCGTTTTGGTAGTAGATCTAGTCGGAAAAGGCTAGATCGACGCATTATCGGCCATATCCAGCCAATAGTGCGCCATTATACCAGATTCCGGCCAGTTTCCGACGGTGGTGACCAGAATCTGGCAAATGTGGGTTACTGGAGTGTTTTTGTCAATTTGTAAAAAAAAAATTTGGGGATGTTTAATTAAATTAACAAACCTAGGGGGTTTAAAAAGAATTGAATAAAATATAATAATATTTTGAAAATAAAGAAATAAATGTGAACCAAACACCAATATTACTGTTTAACTTTATTGGGAAAAGCAAATGACATTTTAAAGAGTGAACCAAAGGCTTACATATTATATTGTTGTTTACTTACTTGAAGTATTCAATAATTTCATTGAATTGCCGAGAGTTGCACTTCTATGATGTTCTTATATGCTCCTTGGTTAGGCAACAATTTTTTATGTCCTTTTCTTTTTATCGTAATTTTTTGTCTTTTCTCCATTATATTTAGGTTGCTTAAGCAGAATTGATCCTACTATCAAGCTCTGAATTTTGATAGTTTTTACTTTGTATGTTTTTAAGCAAGATAAATATATGCATTTTGATATTATAAACAGTTGGAATCGCCAGATTTAAAGTTCAAAGGCTCAGAAAAACTGGGAAGGATGGACTATTTTCAACACCTGCGCAATGCCAAGTTCTGTCTTGCTCCACGTGGGGAGTCATCATGGACACTTCGGTTTTACGAGTCATTTTTTGTGGTCTGTCCTCTCTTTTCACTAGTTGTTTTCTCTCCCCTAAATCTTGTGATCGATCAATTTAGATAATGGGAATGGTTTCTTCTGAGCAGGAGTGTGTCCCAGTTATTTTATCGGATGAAGCAGAATTTCCTTTTCAGAATGTCATTGACTACACCCAGATATCAATCAAATTGCCATCTACTCATATTGGTCCCCAACTTTTGGATTATCTAGCTTCTATACCAGGTCAGATTAAGCAATCTTTGCTTCTTGCTTCACTTACTTTTTAGCACCATACAACTAAACTTTGGATCTGCTCTTCAGATGAAGACATTGAGTGGATGATAGCCCATGGTAGACAAATAAGGTGCTTATGGGTCTATGCTCCAGAATCAGAACCATGTTCTGCAATGCAAGGAATATTGTGGGAACTACAGAGGAAAGTGAGGCAATTTCACCTGTCAGCTGAGACATTCTGGCTGCATAATGGATCTATTGTGAATAGAGACTTGGTTGAATTCACCAACTGGAAACTTCCTTTGCCATTGCCTTGAACGTGATTTGGATCGTCACACGTAACTGTATTTTTTCTGAGCACATCCCTGCAGTTCCATTAAATCTCAAGCTTTCCGAATACTGGGCTAAAACTATTTAGCTTCCTGTGGTGCCACTAATTCTTTTAATGTTGTAGATTATTTTCTCTTGGTAGACTAATAATCATATTCTTCTTTTCTTATAATTTTTACAAATTTAATCTTGTATAGACAGCTTAAGCCTTAAAGTTCTTGTATACTCTGTAAAAGAAATGGTTAATGGTACTATAGCTACTGATTATAATTTGGCTATATATTTCATTCAAGTCTCCACGTCACCAAACGGTTAATGGTGTTCATAGATTTTCTAGTTCATTGTTTGCTTCCTCATTTTCTCATAAATTGGTTTTAGAGAATGGTGTGGGGGCGAACAGCTAAAGTTAAGATGGGCCGGGTCAGCCCAAAAACGTTTCTACTGCCACGTGTTAAGCCAAAGATTTTCTATCAGAAAGAATCCAGTGAGGACATGATTGAAACACCACGTCCACAAAAAACCTTCAGTTTCTACGACTATTCTTTTAACTTTAATTAATTATTTATTTGACAAACATAAACCAAAACTCGAGAGAAGTCTGGAAATAAACATTGCAGTTTTCTCATTTCGAGAGAAATGGGAACAACCTTGTTCACAAGCTATAGCTTTTCTTGTAGTTGGAGATATTATCAGCACACAGAAAGGAGGCTGTCAAGTTTTAAAACTAGCGTTGCATGTTCAAGAGGAAGTGAATTGGTTGATGGAGACGGGGAAACTGAGTTATACAGGACTGGGGATGTGAAGAGAAGATCAGTTTTACTCTCCGGCGCTTCTTTGATTTCTTCTACAATTCTGGGATTTCCAGGAGATGGATTGGCTGTTGTCAAACAAGGCCCTTTAGCTGGACGGATACCCGGCTTGTCTGAACCAGATGAACAAGGTTGGTTTTAATATTTCTATAATCCATTTTGTCTTAACATTTAGAATTGTGATACCAGAGTTTATGATTGTTGGCACCTTTCTTGATATCATCTATCTCTTTATATGTAATTTGGGATTTAAGATCTAAACAGAGCTCGAAAGAGTTGTTAGATTGGAAACATAAGAATATAGCCAGCAAATGGCTCAGAATTGGAATTTTTTGCTGCATCGCTTGAAACTTAGTTTAACATGATGACTTCTATTTCTTGTCCCATTTTTCATTTGTAAAGTAATGGTCACCTTCTTTAGAAATTATATGCTCAGACAGGTTGGAGGACTTATCGCAGACCAGATGATAAATCTGGAGGCCATGGTGTTGGATGGAGTCCAATCATTCCTTACGCATTTTCAGTGCCACAAGAATGGGAAGAGGTAATAATCTTCTTGAGCTAAAGACTTGGCACTATACTTTTAGCTCTCAACTCCCTATTAAAGTTGTTCTCGCGTTTTCCATATTTTTTTCTCTTTCTATAACATCATAAATTCCTTGGAGTCGTCTGTTTATCTTTGCCACAGGTTCCAGTATCAATTGCGGATTTAGGTGGCACTGAGATTGACTTGAGATTTGCCAGTCCGAAGGAAGGGCGCTTGTTTGTCATCGTGGCACCTGTTCTCAGATTTGCTGATAGTAAGTTAATTGTTATTGTGCTAACTTTTGTTTCTGGTCGTTTTCTGCTATTGAATATTAATACTTAAAAAGTTTAAACACATTCTGAGCTGAAACAATTCGACTACAAATTTAATGAGAACAAACTCTGGCCACATTTTTCAATGATTTACATATTAGCATCATTTTCTGTGATATATAGATCTTGGTGATGATGCTACGATTGAAAAGATTGGACCTCCAGAGAAAGTGATTAATGCATTTGGACCGGAAGTGATAGGGGAGAATGTAGAGGGCAAGGTTTTAAGCACGAATGTGGCTGAACACTCTGGGCGAACATACTATCAATACGAGTTGGAGCCACCTCACGTACTGATTACAGCAACAGCTGCTGGAAATCGCTTATACATGTTCAATGTAACTGGAAGTGGTATGGTTTTTTACCCTACTTTTACACCTTCGTACATAAATTAAGAACTATATCAATAGATGCAAAGACTATGATGCTGCTATATGTTGTAGGTCTTCAATGGAAGAGGCACTACAAGGATTTGAAGAGGATAGCAGAGTCATTTCGTGTTGTCTAGTTAAATCTCTGAATTCAGATTGCACAGAGAATCGGAGATAGTGTTTATATCCTTTCATGATGTAATTTTTAACTATTACACAAAGGAGAGTGTATTTGCAGCGCAAATTAACTTCAAAATAGAACTTTCAATTTTTGTTCAATAATATCATTTGGGTAAATGTTCTAATAGAAGTTACAAGGTGTATATCTACAGAGCACTGAGGATTGGTAATTTGGTATTCAGCAGTACAGAAATTTGCTGGTTTTACCAACGACAAAAGCTCCCTGCAAGTTACCTTTTCAACTGAATAAAATTCAAGGGTTGAATATCTTCAGGACTGCAATTTTAACAACAAATATAATTGAAGCCTATCATCTAACTTCTCTCAGAAAACTGTCGCTCAGTGTTGCTGAGCATAACTGCACTGCGCCCTGGAATTTTTTGAAGTCCTTTATCTTGCATGACTTTTCTCATTGTTTCAGCCCTCTCCCATCTATCAGAAGCAGCATATATGTTTGATAGCAGCACATAATGTGAATCATCACCGGAATCCAAGCCAGAATTTGATGGGGCTAACTCTTCCATAAGCTTCTGAACCATATCTTCATCCACATGAATCCGGCAAGCCCCAAGCAGAGCCCCCCAAATAGCATCGTTTGGTTTCATCGCCATTTTTTTTATTAAATCATAAGCTTCTTTCAATCTTCCTGCACGTCCCAAAAGGTCAACCAAACATCCATAATGTTTTATGCGTGCTGCCAAGCCATATTTCTCCATCCTGGAGAAGATTTCCAAGCCTTCATCAACAAAACCGCCATGGGCACAAGCTGAGAGAACGGACAAAAATGTGATATCATCAGGTTTCTCATTTGAACACTCCATTCTTCCGAAAAACTGAAGAGCCTCTCTGCACTTTCCATGTATGGCAAAACCTGAGATCATAGAATTCCAACACGCACTGCTGCTATGCGCCATTCCTTCGAAGATCAATCTAGCATTGGTTAAATCCCCACACTTCGCATACATATCAACTAAGGCATTCGAAACAAACTGATTAAGCTTTATTCTATTATGATTAATCATACTGTGGATTTCTCTTCCAGCATCCAAAGAACCCAACTGAGCACAAGCTGATAAAACACTTGCAAAAGTAACTTCATCTGGCTCAAACCTCTCTTCTTGCATTTTGCTAAATGCTTCCAGGGCCTCCTCACAAAAACCATTTTGTGCATACCCAGAAATCAATGAATTCCAGTTCACCAAATTCCTAACCGGGATTCGATCAAACATAGCCTTAGCCTCCTTTACATCACCTCTCTTGCAATACCCAGAAATCATCGATGACCATACATAACAATTCCTTTCTGGCATCTCCTCAAATAGTTCCCTGGCTGCCTCCATTTCTCCGTTGCTTGTATACCCATCAACCATCACAGTCCATGTCACCACATTCTTCAATTCAAGGGGAACCCTGTTGAACAAGTATCTAGCTTTAACCGTATCCCCACTTCTCGTAAACCCATCAATCATCTCTATCCAAGTAACTTCTGTCCTTAATGACATCTGATCAAACAAAATCGATGCAGAATCTATATGTCCATGCTTCAAATACCCACCAATCATCGCATTCCAAGTTACAACATTTCTCTCAGGCATATAATCAAACACCTGACGCGACGCTGGTATATCGCTACATTTAGCATACATATTAATCAATGAAGTTCCAATCATTACATCAAAATCAGCACCAAATTTGATTGACTCAGCGTGCAAAGCTTTGCCGTAATCAAGACTCAATAAAGACCCACACGCCTTGAAAATTAAAGGGACTACTCCTAAAATGTAGGCTCCTTTAAGGCGAATTTGTTTATATATACCAAGGGCTTGTTCCGGTGAATTTTGAGAGAGGTGTTTTCTTATAAGGTGAGACCAATTAGGTTGATTTGGGAAATAATCTGAGTTTTGCTTGAGGAAGTTTGGATGGTTTTGTTGGATTTCTTGCTGGAGGCAATTTGTAATAACTCGTGGGTTCTGGGACATCATTGTTATTTTCATTTGTCCTGGAGGGAATTTTCACTTCTTAAAATTCTACATATATATTCCCTTTGACTAGGCTAACAGTATTTTGAAAACGAGTCCCTCAAAAATGGAGCAAAAAATTCTCAAAAAGTTACAAAAATGCAAAACTATCGAACAACTGAAACAAACCCATCTTCAGATTTTGATTCAAAAGCTACAACACAGCAATTTTGTAATGCCCAAGCTCATCACTCTCTCCTCACAACTTGATTCACTGCAGTACACCATCAAAATATTCCTAAACTTACAAAACCCCAACACCATTTCATACAATACAATCATAAAATGCTTTCTAGGAAAAACATACAAAGATGCATTGCTTGTTTACAATCAAATGAAGGCCTCAATGGTCGCACCTAATAGCTATACTTTTAGTTTTATTTTGAAATGTTTTGAGTCATTTGAGGCCTGGAAGTGTGGTATAGCAGTCCATAGTGAGATTGTGAAGATGGGCTTTTGTTCTAGTGTGTTTGTGCGGAATAATCTTTTGAATTTTTATGCGAAATGCGGCAAGAGTTCAGGATTAGCTTGGAGGGTGTTTGAAGAAATGACTAAAAGAGATGTTGTTTCTTGGAATTTGATGATTGGCGCATATATGGAGCATGGTGAGATTGATTGTGCAATGGGTTTGTTTGATTTTATGCCTGAGAGGAGTATTGTCACTTGGAATTCTGTCGTTTCGGGGCTTTCGAAAGAGGGGAATATGGAGTTGGCTCGTTCTGTTTTTGAGAAGATGCCAGAGAAAAATGAGGTTTCTTGGAACTCTATGATTTCTGGGTATGCGAGAATAGGGGATATGGAGGCTGCAAAGTGCATTTTCAATCAGATGCAAGAGAAAAGTATTGTTTCTTGGACAGCCTTGATATCAGGATACGCAACAATTGGCGATCTTGAATCTGCAAGTAGCTTTTTTAATCTGATGCCATTTAAATATGTAGTTACATGGAATGCAATGATTTCTGGTTATGTTAATAACAAGAAGTTTGATCTAGGCCTTTCTGTATTTCATCAAATGTTAACTGAGGGCAATTGCAAGCCTGATCACTCAACTTTAACTAGTGTGCTTTCTGCATGTTCTCATTTGGGTTCCTTGGAACATGGGAAGTGGATTGATTCCTACATTAAGAAAAAGAAGTTTCAATTGTCGATTCCATTAGGAAATGCTTTGATAGACATGTTTGCAAAATGTGGAGATTTGGAAAGTGCAAAAGCAGTTTTTGATAAGATGGATAATAGATGTATAATCACATGGACAGCAATGATCTCAGGCCTAGCCGTTAATGGGCAGTGTAGTGAAGCTCTAAATCTGTTTCCTAGAATGAAATTTGATGGAATAAAACCAGATCATGTCATTTTCATTGCCGTTTTATCAGCTTGTACACATGGAGGATTGGTAGAAGAGGGTAAATGGGTATATAAACAGATGGTAGAGGAGTATAACATTAAGCCCCGAATTGAGCATTATGGTTGCATGATTGATCTTCTTGGCCGAGCAGGGAAGTTAGAAGAAGCAGCCAGGTTCATTGAAAGCATGCATCTGAAACCAAATGCTGTCATTTGGGCCACGTTGCTTAGTGCTTGTAAGACCCATGGAAGTGGAGAGATGTTAGAATCAGTGGGCAAAATTTTTTTGGATCAGGAGCCTTCAAATCCTGACTATTTAATGTTGGTTTCAAATTTGAGTGCAGCAGCTGGACAGTGGGAAGAGTTTTCAAGCTTCAGGGTGGCAATGAGACAGCATGGGGTGGAAAAAGTTCCTGGTTGTAGCTCAATTCAGATTGCGAACAGGGTTCATGAGTTTCTAGCCAAAGACACCAGGCATGTGCAAAGAAAGGAAATTTATGGTGCTTTGTGCAGTTTAAATAAGCATCTACATGCAGACGGTGATATACTGTAACAGTTTTCAGAAAACAAGCAATGGTCTACTGAATGAATTTAGTCACCCCGAGAACAGATAAGATCATCTGGTAATTGTGATAGCTCTGAAAAAATAATTGATTTTTTTGAGTGAATCCAAACTCGAAACCAGACATAGGAAAAGAACATGTTCTTCCGTGAAGTCCTGAATTGGAGTGATTCAGGGAACAAGATAAACATTATAGTTATGGCGTCTTGAAGTCTGTCCTGGACAAATTATGCACTTTCATATGGATAAGTTATTAGTGAAGGTCTAATACTTATTGCTTCTGCACTTTTTAATTCTTTCGTCTTAGTAAACATAGTCTCTGCAATTGGATATAGACTTAAAGCGCATACCACTCAGTTTTCTTGTGTTTCTGTTTCTTTACCTTCTCTTCGCCATGAACCTTAAATTAGGGGCCTGTCAAAACACGAGGTCAGAAAAACAATACCTAATGTGAACGGAATTGTTAGAATTGGAACCAAAAAATAGTTTGTTTACGCTTAAAGAATAATGATGAACTGGTTGAATAAAAGAGGAATTGTATTCAACTTAAAATACTTCAGATACAACTTTCACAAAGATACGCACATTTCTAAACAGTTTAACACAAATTACATATATATAGAATATCTAAAGAGAGAACTCAAAATAACTCCTTAGCGGTTAAAAAAAGTTTGGTAGTTAACTTCCTTAACCAACTTAAACTGCTGTCCAAAAAGAAACCTGAACAATTCAATCTCTTCAAGGAATTTAACTCACGCTGCAGCGATAGAAACGGTCGCTGCAGCAATCGTCTATCACCCAACGAATGCCACCGCCGTGGCGATAGTTCTCTGCCACACGTTTAGAGGTCTTCATCAAGGTTGCTGCAGCCACCTTTTTCCATCGCTGCAGCATGAGCTTCTCCAACCAAAAATGGTTCATCTTTTAACAGGAATTTTGTAGTTTGAGCTAGGAATAGCAGTTGACAGTAAATATGCCTTTGAAGAACTATTTACTGAATACAGGAAATTGTGAGCCTTAAATAAGGAAAGAGCTGTGACCATGTTGCAACCACATCAAGAGATTTATTACCAATCATCGTTCGACCATATGGTGGGCTCTTCTTATGGAAAATCAGTATTGGTACTTGTAGCTGAGACTCTGAGAGGTGGTATTTGTTAGTGTATGTGCCCTAAAACCAACTATAGATGTAAGATTTAGGGCAACATTTATATATAAATTTTGTAATGTTTTACCATTAATAAAATGACGATTATTTTACGCTACTTTGTGTCATCTATATTTAATTAAGTTGCGTATGTCCCTGAGCTTATTCTGGAAAGAATACTATTTTTAAAGAGTTTGAGAATATGGGTATCAGGATTCTTTCATGTGACTCGCTCTTAAGTATGTTCCTAATCAGATGTGATAATAATCAGAGGCAATATTATCGCAAGATCAACATTATTGTGTTCCGCCATTGATTATCATGAGATGTTGATGGTTGGGTGATGAGACTCATATCATAAGGGCACGAGCAATGAGGTGATTTATTAGAGAACGAAGCATCAAACGTGACCAATGGACGATTGATCACATGAGTATAATATCTTCAGTCAATGATCATCGTTATGTGCATTAGTGTCACTTTATCCTTATACCTGAGATGCAATCATGTTTTGTGAATGGGTGCTCGTGGTTCTTCAATACGTTATCACTAGATTGTTTATAACTAGTGTGTAGTGCTTGTTGGTCATGAGTTAATCATGTATGGAGTCATATGTGTATTCAATAAGGAATCTGATGGCTTAGATATTATGAGCTTGAGTGTTCCAAGGGATCAACGAATGTGGAGGAAGTCTTTGGCCAAAGCATTTGTGTTTAATGAATAATTTCATAGAAACACAATTCCACATTTTAAGATGATCCGATTATATGATCAAGTTAGGGATTTGATTATACCATGGTCTGCACTTTATCGGAACACGACATCGGAGAGAATGAGGTGACATGACTAAAATACTCAATTTTACAAGTTCATATGATCCCACTTCATTCATTGATTGGGGGCCATGATATACTATTAAGTGTCATTCACGGTCTGTAAGGAAGATGGATATCAAGAGTTGATACTTACTTTACTGACAATTGATAAATGAACCTAGAAAGGTCACACACATTATGAATCTCTAAGCTTGATGTGAATCAGGGACTTTCTCATTAAAGAGTTAATGAGGATATTAAAGTTTCCGGAAGTCCTAATTGACTAATTAGTAGAATTGGTTAAAAATGTATTTTTGTAATTGAATAAATTAATTAATTGTTGATTAATTAATTAAAAATTAAGTCCAAAAAATGAGGCTTTATAAATGAATTTAATAATTAAACTTGGACCCAAATTGAGCTAGCACTCAAATGGGGCTAAGTTTAGTTATTAGTTAATCCATCAGAAAATAACTTAAGATATTCCAGGTATTGCCTACTAATCCAATTTTGGCGGCTATTTAAAGGAGGCTTAGGGTTTATTATTTCAGAAGAGTATAATTATAAGAAAACACTAGCCACCGATATTCTCTGCCATCCCAAGGAAGAAATTGTTCTTGATTCCATTGTAGTGGGTTAATTCCAATCAGCGAGAGATCCTGTGTGTATCGATCTAGAGGTATCACACTTGGGGTACTTTGTGAGGATTCAACAAGTAGAAAGAAATAGCAAAAGGAGTCCATAATTTTTCTTACTTACTCTTATTTTGTATTTCATATTTTTGATACATATATATATGCATGTGTTATTTGCATTAAATCGTCGTTACTTGGATCATAAGGGCATAATTGGGGAGGAAGTTTTAATATCCAGACAATTGGGTGCTTCAGCTAAGCGTTCTTAACCCCAACAGTATTGTTCTTCAATGCTGGAATAAAAAGGATATAAATGATACATTTTTGGAAATGGAACCTTTCAATTTGGTTTCTCAAAACTTGTAGAACGGAATAACTCTCCTGAAATGGTAGCATATGGGTTTCTTGATGCCATTCTGATTACCTTTGGTTCT